ATATGAACCAAGATAAAATAACAACAAACCCTACCAACATGTTTAATCTCCAAAATGAAGGGATAATGTCTTTTCTTGTTCTTCATATTTCTTTTGCAATATGGAACCCAAAATTTACGTAAAATGATCAACTTTTGTTCTCACCTTTCCAAGAGAAGAGAGCAGAGTCGAGCGAGAGAGAAAGAGCAGAGCCGAGAGATGGAGCAGAGCGGGACAGACCGATCATTTTTTTTTTTTTTTGTTCCCAACTTTTTATTTTTCATTTTTTATTTTTTTTTTATTACAAAGTTGATACACAAAATATAAGAAGGGTAGTAGAGTCATTTCCTATCTAAGGATATTTTAGGTATTTCATTTATTTATTTACCTTTTATTTAAAGAATGGGTTACTAAACAAAAAAAGTGTTGAGAGGGTTACTTAAATAAATTCATAAGTTGACTATCCCTTTTAAATAAACCACCTGCCCTAGTTCGAGCCATTCGCATCCTGGTTCAAATGGAGTGGCGTGTTCGAATCTAATATATGCATAGGGAAGTCAATTTTGCGGTTGATCATATGGTGGCCTTGGCGTCATCCTCCACGTTGGGCATGAACTGGTGTGATTCTCCTCCCGCATGAATGAGATCGTGGCTTGAATACGACATTATCGGGGTGTCCCGACGAGTTCTAGTCTAGTCTAGTGGTTCGGGCCTCGTCCTCTATCTTTGTACCGAAAAAAAATATTGCACATTACTATTATACTTTAATTGAATTAATTAAGTTTTTAATATACTTTTTTTTTCCCATCAATTTCACAAAATTCATAGGTATACCAACTTATAGAGACTACTACAACTTTATCATGTATATAGTCGCAGTCTTTAGTGTTTCTCCCTAGAGTGATCCCATCATGGTAGAATGACTAATTATTACCATTTATCAGAACCTTAAGGGGATGCTTGGATATAATATTTTTTTTATTTGATCGGATTTGTTTGTTTGGTCTGGTTAATTTTGAAAGCGATGGTATGATTAGTTGTCAGTTGGTATATTAAAAAAATATTTAAAATAAAATAAATAAAATTGATTTGATGTAAAACTAAGAGATAGATGATTTGAAGTTATGGTTAGTTAAAATTATGGGAGTATTAAAGTTGATGTGATGTATAAGAATGATTGGTTGATATTATTTAATTTTATTGATAATATTGATGATAATGAGGTTGAGTTAAAGAAAGCAGTTGGATTAAAAATGTTTGAATTTTTTTGAGTAAATTTGTATCCAAGTATCCTCTAAGCGTTCTATTTCGTCTCTCTGTAGCACCATTCATAGTAAGCGAACTCGACATAAACGATCCTCGACATTGTTCACCTGAACTATCAACTCATTGAATCTATTAAGTTTTTAATATACTTTTGTCCGGCCAATATCACAAAAAATTCATATTTGCCAACTTATCGAGACTATTGCAACTTTATCATGGATATACCCATTTAGTGTTCGTCCCTAGATTGATCGCATCATGGTAGAATGAGTAATGATACTCCTAGTCAGATCTTTAAGCGTTCTATTTCACCTCTCTGCAACACCATTCATAGTCGGCAAACTCGACATAATGTACTGTGGGACGATACCACATTCTTCTAGGAATTTTGCAAACAGTCCTCGACATTGTTCACCTGAACCATCAACTCACAATTATAGTTTTAATCCTTTTATTGAGTTGATTCTCTAACTTTTTTTCTTATACTGTATATACAATACAATTAGCTACTTATTGATGAAATAGTTTATGTTTCAATCATTACTACATACAAAAATAAAATTAGAATGACTGTTAACTTTTTTTTAACCATGTATATAGTTTATTTCAAGATTAGGTGGCTTGAACGAAAAATACGTTTATAGCTGATTTACGTCAAGGATATAGCTGGTTTATGTCTAGTATATAGTTATAAAAATATATATTTCACTACAAACTTTTATAGAAAAAAATAGCAAAAAAATAAAAAATAAAAAAAAAATCCAACAAGTATCTAGGCAAAAAACTAATAAAAATGCAAAAATTGTCTATTTCTTTCTTACAATTAAAGCCTATATAATAAGCATAGAAAACAACTTACTACAAATAAACTAAACACTGACAATGATATATACCTTAGCAAAATAAGTAGACTGAATATTTATTCCAACTAAAAAATCCAGGTCTGAAAAAGCCCAATTGACAGAGTACCAAAGTACTCAGAATCACATACCATTTCTTTGCAATATAGAAATAACATAATAATATTCATAACAAAAATTCCACACAACGTAATTCAGAATTCACTGCAACTTTAGGCATAAAACTTGACACAAATAACATGAGCTAAGAATTCAACAATCTCTCCACATACAATCAAACAAAATGCTTTGTCCATTTGAAAAGGTTGCGCAGCCAGTGTTCGCATACTGGCAATAGAACTAAATAAAACTCCAGCACCTTAGAAAACATAAGCTAGTACAGAACCAACATGAATAAAATTCTATTACTCCCATTGTGTTCTCTTTGCAGTTCGTTCTTACTTGAGAGGGATGAACCTAGAAGAGTGTGTGGCACCAATACCTGGTCTACCGTGCCTGACTGGTTTGTATGAAATCGAGAACTCAGCAAGATAATGGCCAATCATCTCAGGCTTGATTTCAACTGGGTTAAAGGTCTTGCCATTGTACACACCAAGAACACTTCCTATCATCTCAGGGACAATGACCATATTTCGCAGGTGGGTCCGGACAAGAGCTGGCTTCTCACCTGCTGGGGCCTCACGTTTCTGCAAAATGTGTCATATGGTACCGTTGGTTACAAACTGAAAACATGCTACATCAAGAAAAATAAGCACCATAAACACAAAAAGGAATAATGTAGAACAAGGCCGATAATGAGATATACACTTTATGAACTCATGCAAGAACCAGAAGCAAAAAAGTGAATACCAATGAAGTAAATGAGAACATGATTGAATGGAGGAAAAATCAAATAAGTAGAACGTCATCTAAGCAGTATTTCATATCATTGATCACTTACTGCCTTCCTCAGTTTCTTGATTAAAGCCATTGGTTTCCTTGTCAAACCCCTCTGGAACCTGTGCATTTATCCCGGTGTCAAAGTCACATCAATACAAAAATAAGTACTGGTAGAACAATAAAACAGAATCAATTCACACAAACATCTTAAATAATACTTAAAACTTTAGATATACTAAATAGCCACATCGTAACTTCAAAAAGGCTCATCTTTGACTAAAAGGAGTATAAATAACGATAATTCGACACATAAAGCCTGCAAGCAGTAAAATGGGTTCAACACACACATAACTCTTCACATTGGAATAGAAAAAAAGGAAATTCATAAAGCAGGAATTCCGATGCAGCTATCAACAGCACACTACATATCCAACCAACACACGTTGATTCACCTCACAAGACCACAGAGTACCTAAAAACTGTTACTGATTACATCCTCAAACTACAAAATACCATCCATAATAGCATATGGCCATGGCAACACCAAAACATTATACATTGTTACCCATATCTAACGCACTGAAAATTAACACAGCCCACGCAGACCCCAGCACATAATTAGGCCTCAAAATCTCAGTCACATAACAACCAAAGATGGATCAAAGGAAGAAAAAAAAAAAAAAAAACAACTAAAAATGCAACATAGTCCGCAGCTAAACACTAATATAAACAGTAAAAAGCATGATAATGGCACATCCCAAAGCCAGAGCACATCCATCCGAATTTACGAAAATAAAAAAAGGGATAAGAGATCAGATTAAACCTTCTCCGGGGGCGAGCAGGAAAAAGCTTGACGAGCTCATCAGTAGACATGTCGAGGAGTGCATCGAGATCGGTGCCTCTGTAGCTGAATTTCTTGAACGTTCTCTTCTTCGCTTGCTGCCCGGCAACATCAGTCTCAACGTCCGCCTGCAAAAAAACGGATTCAACGATATTCAAAGCCAAAAAAGGGACGAAAACAAAAGGAACTGAAAAAATTGTATGCGTAAAATGGTGTGGTGTAGTGATAAAAAATTAACCAATACCATGGCTATGGCTGCTGGTGGAAATCGAAGGCTCTTGGTCTTGGTCTGTGCTTCACTTCACAGCTAGGGTTCCTGATGTCAGGTGGAAAATGGGATTTATATGTAACGTTGTGGGGAAATATGATGAATCGGGTAGCATTGCTAGGCCCAATTTTTATTGGGCTGATCAATCAATTTTGTATTCCTTTTGTGAAAAAATTTGCTTATTTCTCTTATGGATAAAAATTTAGACGAAATGTTAAAATAACTACAAGATATTAAAGATATTGCACAAGGAGAGCGATTTTAATCGCATGTGAAAGAGAAAACAACTAAATTGTAATGTAGTTCTTAAACATTGAACAAGTTAAACAAATGAACAACTAGCTTGAATCGCGAAAAATAAACTTCTTTTCTCTCGCGAACTCAGAACCCTTGTCTTCTTCGCTCAATCTCACGCCGGTTGGAGCCTCTTTCGGTGGTTGTTCGGGCTCGTCGGTGGACGGCTCTCCTGCGGAGCATCTAATTTTGGGCTGAAGCGCTACTGTCCGGTATCTCAAGCCAACGAGGCGGGCTAGGGTTTCTCCTCTCTGTGCGATGGAGCTGACTGTCCAGCGGGTTTGGGGTTCGGGCCTGCGCCGTCAGCCCTTGGAGGTGGCTTGGTTGCTCACTTCAACAACCCAGGTAGGTGCGATTTTTCTCTCGCTCGTCTTTGAGGTCGCCGGTCTCTTTGTTCTGTTCCGTCGATTTTGGCGCAGTGGGCCGGAGGGGGCAGGGTCGGACCTTTTGCGATGGGTTGGGAAGGGATTGCCGCTTATTCGGTTTGTTTTTGTGAGGCTGGGCCTGGAGCCATTCGATCCCTTCCTCCCTGTTGCTCTTCTGAGTACTTTGGAGGCCAACTGTGTCCGGAATTGGCTAGTGGTGATAGGCAGTTTTGGGATGGTGTAGGATTTGGCTAGTGGTGTTAGCCGGTTGGGGGTCGACTGTGGTTCTAGCGGTTGGAGAGCGGGTCAGTTTTTTTGGACTGTTTTGAGGCTCGGGGCTTTGTCTTTGCTAGGCATTAGGCAGTGGCGGGTGGAGTTCCTGGACTTTGGATCTTTCCTCGAAGACGACTTTGTCTGCTGTTCAATCTCGGTCGTATCTGCTGAAGGAGGGCTATTCTTTAGTTCGTTTTAGTTTTGGTTAGTTGTCGTTCTTGTTTTCTGATGTTTGTGTTTGTGTCTGTGTTTGTCCTTGTGTTTTAGGTTTGGGTCATTGACCTCTGTGAGCTGAGTGTCACCTTTATTACCCTGTTGGGGTCCGACACTCAGTATTACCTTGTTGGTGGTCTTTGTGTTTTTTATTTTGTAGTTTTTAGTGTGCCCAACTATTACCCTGTTGGGGTCGGTTCAGTTTTGAGTCGAGTTTTTATTCTAGCTTTGCTAGCGGGATTCTAGGCGGGCTTCTGACCTGTCCTCCCACTTTATTCTCCCGTTGGGAGCTTTGTATTTTTATTCGCACATTTGTGCGCTTTTGATTTATAATAGTACCTCTATCGTTTCGGAAAAAAAAAACAACTAGCTTGAACAAACTATTCAATATTGGGGAGTCACATGGTGATCTTATTGGATTGGGATGGTGTAACACCCCGCCTTATCATGAAATCAGAGTGCGTAACTTTCGCAAAGTTATTTAAAATAAAATCTTTTGATTTGCGAAAATTGATTCGGGGTGTTACCGTAAAACGTAACTTATTCGGAAAAACCGTTAATTTAATTTTTAACAAAATCTACGGTTTACTGAAAAACATTAATTATATGAAAGACTGATCAAAAGACAAGTTCGTCAAGTCAAACTCAGCGAAAACGTAGTATCGTCAAAATATATATACAGTCACAACATAAAAATCCTGAAGCATCCGTCATCTCACGCTCCCGGCCCGACATCCTGACCTGAAAAATATGATAAAAGTGGGTCGTGAGCACTATAACACTGTGCTCCGTCGAAACTCATACTAATGTAAACATTGAAAATAATAACAACATCATGATCTTGGCATATACATAACCTGAACATGAAACCGGCAATAACATGAACATGAATCTGATATCATCACGTGAACGTGAACCATGACTGTTACCTCATCTGCCGGCACAAACTAATGCCGGGCACCATGTGCACACTCTAGTGGGCAGACTAGGGCCACTAGAACCCAGAATGGACCGGCGACCATTCCGAGCGGATACATGACATGAAATACATGCCTAAAACATGGTACCGTAATTATAATCAATGTAGTACTTAGTCTGAGTCCCCACCTGATCCGTGAAAATAAAGGTAGTGCTGATGCTCGTGACCTGATCAAACTGAAATATAA